TTGTAATGGTTAATATACAATTTTGAAGTCATGAATTTAAACCTTTGCATATGCATTATTTTTTTTTTTTAATTTTAACTTCATCAAAAAATAAAAATCCGAGCTAGGGGCCTCTTCCAACGTTGGGCTCAGGGCGAGTGCCCATCTCGCCCGTCGTCAAGGCCGGCCCTTCTTAGTAATATGTTGAATTTGGAAATTTGTCTTACCGGAGTAGTTCAAGTGGTTAACCAATCAAAAATTAGTCCTGTTTACCTAAGAAGTCATTGAGAGACTTTAACCAATTAATGTGGTGAAAGCCTTTTGTGTACAGAAGTGTACATGTAGCGGGGTAACTTGGAATCATTTGGGCTTCTTCATAAATCTTGAGACGGATTCATGGAATTTAGAATATTGTTTGGCGAAATAAAAAAATTGAGTTATTAAAAAACTTGAAAATTTACCAGATTTGTAAAATAATGAATTGGTGGATGGGTTAGAGTCTTAGAGAAAGTGGTAGTGATGTGAGGAAAAGAATCAGTATGTAGTGGGTTCACTATGCCTTGAGTGGAGGTAGGAATGAGGATGTTGCAATGTCAACAAAACAAATCAAAAGTCCAAATAAATCTCTCTCTCTCTCTCTTTCTCTACAATGAAAAAGGAAACAAAAACCTAGAAAATTAAGATTAAAATAATGTGTCTTGATGAAGATTGTTGGGACTTCAAACCAAGGAAATGCGCCAGGTTTCATGATATGTACTTCTTGGAAATCATTATTTATTTTTTTCTTTTATATGTCAGTTTCAAAACCACAAACATTATTTTATTTTAATTAATCAAAACCTTAACTTGTTTAGCCCTTATTTTATATATATATATATATATATATATATATATATATATATATATATATTGGATCACAACCTTACATTTGAAAAATTTGAACGCACCAGATCAGATTAAAAAAAAATACGGTGGTAGTTTCCTAATTATCACTAACTTCACTATGCAAACGCGATAGCACATTTAGTATTAACGTTTTGCACATTTAGTGTTAACATTTTGCATATTTATTATTAAAAGTTTGCACTTGGCAAAAATGCGAAGTACATTGCAATTAGAGTTTCGATTTTAGAATTTTATGACTGAATTTTTTATTTTATTTGGTCCAGTGGTTCACTTTTTACTGCTTAAGGTTTAACCATTAAAAATTTAGTATTTTTGCTGATTTTATATTTTTGTTGAAAATCCAGATTCACATATTTAGTTGTTAAATATTGCATATTTAAGTGTTGCGGAGTTGATAATTACGAAACTGTCAGTGCATCTCTTCTTCTTTTTTTAATCTGATCAGATCCCATGAATTTTTACCGATGTAAAGCTGAGATTGATTCTTATTTCTCTCCCATGGAAATGTTCTTACGAGATCCATAGTGTATATATATGTGTGTGTGCGTGTGTGTGTATATATATATATATATATATATATATATATATATATATATATATATATATATATATATATATATATATATATATATATATATATATATTGTGAAAGGTTCCGGTGCATTTGTTGCTTCCCGTGCGGATGTGCGTGAGATTTGTACTCAATGTGCGTGAGTGTTGTGTTTAATGCGCCTGAGATTTGTACTTAATGTGCGTGAATGTGTAAAATGCAGCAGAAAATATTGATGTCAGCTTCTTCCCCATCCTCAGTAGTCATTTGCCCCCTCCCTGATGATGATGATGCGAAGGCGAGCTATGGTGGTTAAGAATTATGGGAATAATACAACAGAAATCCACACTTTGCTGCTGTGCAAATTTTACTGTGCGTGCGTCATTTATATAAACATTCAACTGCATTGAAGGTAGCTGATAATCCAGAATCCATGGCCAAATTGAAGGAAGAAGTAACAAGAAGCTTGGGCGTTAATGTGCGTGAGTTTCTGTTCTGCTTCCTTCTGAGCTCGTAATTCTGAAATACTCACACACATTAAGCACAAATCTCACGCACATTAAACACAATACTCATGCACATTAAGTACAAAACTCACGCATATTAACATGACGCACATTAAGTATAAATCTCAGACACATTGAGTACAAATCTCACGCACATTAAGTATAAACCTCACGCACATTAATCCACCGCACATCCGCACGGAAAGCAACAAATGCACCTGATCCCTTCCATATATATATATATATATATATATATATATATATATGTATATATATATATATATATATGATAGCTAGATACAACTATTCTGTACTGACCTTGCATTGCCATGTGCCTAACCCAACTCAATATACATTGTGGTTCCTGATATCATTATCATTATGTCGGGACTAAAAACTCTTTACATGAAACAGTCAAATTACTTTTATACAAAATAATAATAATAATAATAATAATAATAATAATAATAATAATAATAATAATAATAATAATAATAATAATAATAATAATAATAATTAGTGACTTTAAATTACACTGGTTTGACAAGATTTTTGTTGACAAAAATTAAAGATGGTATTTATATGGAAGAAAATTGGTACAAAGTTTAAATTAGGTAATGCAGAAGCAGCTTTTGGCCTACAGTCTACGAGTCTTTAATTAGAAGCCTGCCAAAGTCGGTCGCCAATAACTTTGATTTGTCACACTGCACCATCTCCCATTCTCTACATTGAGCTTTATATTGGGCAAAAGGCAGTACACCAAAGCCTTCAATAATAGAAGAAAATGTGTTGAGTGTGTAAAAAAAGAAATATAAATAAATAAATAAATAATGATAAACACTGATTTAACAATGACAATCGGTCACGTGTCCCGATTTAACAATGATAAACACTGATTTTTATTAAAAAATATGGTGACATTTTCGTAAATAATTGAACATCGAAGTTCAAGTAAAATGTATTACAAGTGCAAGTAGCAATTACATATAGTGCACCCTAGTGCAAGTAAAATATGTTACAAGTGCAAGTAAAATGTATTACAGGTGTAAGTAAAATTTATACTGAGCATCAATACTAAGTACACCTAACGTTATAACTAGTTGTACCTAGGTTTACGAATGTTAACAAGATAAATTACTTACACTTGTAAGTGATTTTACTTGCAAATATGCACCAGTTACTTGCATTTATAACACATTTACTTGCACCAAAGTTCAAGTTATTTATGAAAATGTCACCGCGTCGAACTTATAAAATTACATTTGATTCGTTGATCTGGACACGTGGACAGCTGGTTCTTATTTATCTCCTGGACGGCTGGTCGCATGAGAGCGTGCCATATATATATATATATATATATATATATATATATATATATATATATATATATATATATATATATATATATATATATAATTGCACTCAGGTGCGAATGAAGCTCCCAGGAAGGAATATGTGAACCAATCAGCGCGCGACACGTGTCCAGATCTAATGGATTAAAAAAAACGCGGTGGCATTTTCGTAAATAATTGAACATCGAAGTGCAAGTAAAATGTATTATAGGTGCAAGTAAAATTTACACTGAGCATCAATACGAAGTGCACCTATAGTTATAAGTAGTTGCATCTATAGTTATAAGTAGTTGCACATGTAGGTATAAGTAGTTGCACCTGTATGTATAGGTAATTGCACCTGTAGTTATAAGTAGGTGCACCCAAGTGAATTAATGATTGCGGGAAGTGAATGTTAACAAGACAGAATTACATGCACTTATATGTGAAAGTAGGTGCACCTATAGGCTATAGTTATAAGTAGTTGCACATATAGTTATAAGTAGGTGCACCCAGGTGAATGAATGGGTGCGGGAAGTTAATGCATGTTAACAAGACAAAATTACATGCACTTATAGATGAAAGTAGGTGCACTCATAGTTATAAGTAGTCGGACCTATAGTTATAAGTAGTTGCACATATAGTTATAAGTAGTTGCACATATAGTTATAAGTAGGTGCACCTAGGTGAATGAATGGTTGCGGGAAGTGAATGTTAACAAGGCAAAATTACATGCACTTATAGGTGAAAGTAGGTGCACTTATAAGTGATTTTACTTGCACTTCGATGTTCAATTATTTACAAAAATACCACCGCGTTTTTTTTAATCTATTAGATCTAGACACGTGTCGCGCGATGATTCGTTCGCATATTCCTTCCTGGGCACTTATTCGCACCTGAGTGCATCCCTATATATATATATATATATATATATATATATATATATATATATATATATATATATATATATATATATGCGGCATATACGGTATAACAAGATAATTTGTCATTAATAAAATTTGTGCGTATTTTTCAAGTTAATTTTTGTTTTTTGTTTTTTATTATTTTTTGTTTCTAGCTACTTGTTTGGTTAGTTTTTGTTTCATATTCTATTGTTTATCTTAAATAGTTGTTTTGTTTGATTCTAAATAATGGACATTAAGGTGCATTTGTTTGGTTAATTATGTAGATTTGTGGTTATGTGATAAATTTTGCCATTTGTTGCTGCTTTGAACGAGCCATCCGGGTGTAAAGGTACTACACCGTGCGTCGCATCTCCAGTGTTCGGCCGGTATCCTCCGTCGACGTAGCACCGTGGCCGGCCATGTGGTCGGCGCTGCCACAGTCTCGCTGTGCTGCCAAGTGGCACGGCAGTGCGCCCGGGCATAGGCCTTCATCGCGACTGTCGACTGTCTCCATACACCAACCGGCCGTGCCAACGCACCATTCCATATGGCGTCGTTTCGGGCGCTCCATAGGTGATTAAGGACTGCAACCGCTATGCAAAAGTGCTCCTCTGTTATGTTTGCCATAGCACCCATTAGCCATACCGGGAAAGAAAGAGCAACAATATTTCCAACAGGCAATTTCGAAATATTCCACACAAATTTAGAATAATCACAAGAAACAAGTGTGTGCATAACATTCTCATGAGATAATCCACACATAGGGCATGTTGGATCTACTTCCTCTCTCTTTATAATCAAGTTATCCGTAGTAGGGAGAATATCACATAAAGCTCTCCATAAAAAAGTTTTCCATTTTGGGGACCCTCAATTTCCATAATGCAATCCATTTATCAAAGGCACCATGATGATGTTCAAAATCTCCAACAATCTGCCTATATGCACTCTTAACATAATATATTCCCCTCTGGTCACCATACCAGTACCAAGAGTCCTCGTAATTCGGGCTAATTGGAATTTTAGAAATACGGGTTACATCCTCTGGCTCAAATAAATCACTCAGGGGATCCCATGAGTGTGTCTGCTGGTCAATTAAACTCACCACTTTAGCTTCTCGCAGTTCCTCAGGCATAATTGTTTGAACTAACGGGCTAGGATTATCTGGTAACCATGGGTGGCCCCAGATTAAAGTTGTTTCCCCGTTTCCAATCCTTCTTCGGACACCAGAGCAAACCATTTCGTGTGCAGCCATTACACTCCGCCAACAGTAGCATCAATAAAAGAGGTTGTTGGGTAATAACGAGCTTTATAAATTCTGGCCGCAAGAAAACAATTGCTATTATGTTATGTTGTGAAGAGGGGTTTTCAAGAAATAATAAATAGTCTTTTAAAACATGCATGAATGCACTCATTCTTTCAACCGTACAAAGCAATGTGCATCGAAAAGCATATTGCAAAATAATTTAATATAGATTCAATTATAAATGATTTATTTTAAACTTTATTAAATTTATAATGTAATAATTATTTGTAAATATGTTAACTGGATATCAATATATTTGATTTAGTACTTCGACCGTAGTTCACCCCCTGCACTATTAAGTTCTGTCTCTGCCCCTGTGTACAGTATGCCTGAGTTTTACATTCGGTGTAGTTATTGCACGTTATACATTCATAATTCTCACCAGAAACTTTCTCTTATATATACATATATATATATATATATATATATATATATATATATATATACATATATATATATATACACTATTAGGTCAATTTTTAGGTTGAAATAAAACATACTCTTCAATTTAGTATCAGAGCTTATAAAACTATATATAAAAGTTTAGTTCAAATTTTTAATTGTACAAGGACAGAACAATAACTTAATCAATCTGATTTTCCTTAGACATATTAAGTCTATGTGTGTGTGTTTGAAAAACAAGTTACAAGTCACTTGCACGGTACATGTAATTAGGAAGCAGAAGATTTCCACAAACTTGGTTATAGGGTTTGGGTAGTAATTAGTTGATGGGACATTGTGAATCAATTATACACAAAAATCCAATAATCTAGCTTGTGCATGCATGTTTCGTATGTGAAGAAGTCACAAGAAGTTTTGCCAATGACCAAGTCCATACAAGTATGAGGTCTTTCATATCATGCCGTCAATGGAGTCAATCACTGTTAATAACCAGTAATTATGGTTGAGATACCATTGTCCCTTTATGTACAAATAAATAATCATTGTATTGAATATGGTTGGGAAGAGACCGGTAACGGGTCAAGTTTAACAATTGGTGACTAGGGAGATTGTTGGCCAGAGACCGGTGAAAGGTCAAGTTTAGTACCTTGCCTCTCAAACATGCCCAAAGAATCTAAACTCCCACCATCAAGGTTAAATTTATAATCACCCATTTGGAATGGTAACCGGGATGCCATCAAAGTACATGATAATTGGCAGGATACATTATTAGTTGATACCACATAAAATATATAGGCCCTTTTGGTAAAATAGTTAGCTTATCAACCAATTTTGACTTATTTGATCACTATTAATTGTTTGAGTTAGTTAAAAAATGAATATAAGTGTTTGGTTAATTAGCTTTTTGTAACGCCAAAATGCTAAAATTCAAAAAGCTACTGAGAACAGCTTTTTTGATCAGCTTTTAAAAAAAGTCATTTTGCATGCTAATTTACCAAACATCTTTCTACAATCAACTAATACTATCAACTAGTCAAACTCACTAACATAATCACCTAACCCCTAGCTATTTACCAAACACCCCAAAATCAATTTGCATTTCCTTATTTGTTGCATTATTAGTTCAAACAAAATGATAATCTATTTCAATGTGTTTGGTTCAAACATGGAAAATAAGATTTGCATATGGAGATACTAACTTATCACACCAAAATTTTAAAAGGGTAAGTAATAATTTTCCAAGTTGTTTGAGCAAAGGTATTAACCAAGTGATGAATCTAGCTAGTACATCAACTACTACTTTTTATTCAAATTCAACGGAAGATTGGAACTTAACCAAATTATATATAAACCAAAATTAAACCACTCATAGACTTTCTATCACCCACGTACACAACCAGCTCAATCAATTCAACATCTAAGAAAGCATGAACTTCAAGCTTAGGGGTGAAGTCTTTGATAATCTTAGGCCGCCCTGTTTGGTAAATAGTTGTTAGCTGTTAGCTGATTGAGCTAATTAGTGGGTATACCTAGTTAATAATATTAGCTGATTGTAAAAAAGTGTTTGGTAAATTAGCTGTTAGCTTATCGTTTGGTATAATTTCTTTTATCAAAAAGTTAAATGAAAATATTGTTTTGAACAACTTTTTAAATTTTAGCATTTTGAAGTTACAAAAGCTAATTAATCAAACACTTATATTGAGTTTCTAACCAAGACAAATAATTAATAGTGGTCAAATAAATAAAAATTAGCTGATAGACTAATTATTTTACCAAACATGATGAGTAGTCTTTTGTATGTTCGTAGTAGGTGCTGTATAGTACACTTCAATCCCATCCAATCTTCTTTAATTAATTAAATTGCGCATGAATTGACAAAAGAAAGAAATTTTACTCTCACAAGTCAAGCATCCTAAAGGTTTATGCAATATAAGGTAATGTTTAACATGCAATTATTTTAATTAAACTTGTGGCATTTTTTCAACCGATATAAAAATAGTTGAAACTTTTATAGATAAATTATAGAGGTGTGTGGGGTGGGGGGGGGGGGGGGGGGGTGTCTTGCTTATTGGAATTAACATAAATGGGGATAGGTGCATATAAATGATACAATTGTTTTTTTTGTTTTTTGTTTTTTGTTTTTTGTTTTTTGTTTTGTTTTTTATTTTTTTTTAGTTTACAAAGTTCAAGTATATGTTTAAAACTTTTCCAATTTAAAGGTCAAATTGTAGTTTCAAAAATTTATTTGATGTTTCCCATCCCTGTTATATTTTTAAAAATAAAAAATAAAACTAAGGGGAAAATCATTGGGTTATTATTATTATTATTATTATTATTATTATTATTATTATTATTATTATTATTATTATTATTATTATTTTGATATATTAGGTTATCAACTTATACTAGGCTAATCTTAAGTCTCTGAAGGTAATTCTAAGTTGGTCAATTAATCTTCAATTTTCAGTTCTATCTGTACACTCTGCATCTTCATTACCTTTGAACAATTTTCCCGTCATTAGAACACGACTTTAATCGTTGAATCATTCAGTTAAGCCCCGCGGGGCAAACATTGGGTTATTTGGTTTGTGTGGTGCGAGGTGTGAACATGGGTTGGAAATAGGCAACACACACACATCTACTATACCAATAAGAACCCAAGAGAGTTAGGCCTATAATGGGTAGAAAAATGGCGGTCATATATTTTAATCAAATGAATGGCTCAGATTGATCAGATTTTAATTTTTCCTTAATATTTTCCTAATTTATCCTTAATGAATATGATTATCCGTTAACTTTTCCGTTAAATATTATCTTTTCCGTTAATTTCTATTAGTTCACCGTTAACTTACTCATTGATTTCAATAAGAAAGGTCTTAAGTTCGAACCTCATCCCAATCAAAGTTGGCATAATTAGTACTTTATTTTATTCTTATTAAATTAAATAATAATTTAGTAGCTACATACAATGTCTTTGTTCAAAAAAAATATTAATTATCAATAAATTAAATAAGATAAATAATTTCATTAGTTATATTGTTTTTATTTTTCTCCAATACAAAAATTCTTTACATTCAAATTTATATTATATTCGCTACACTGTCCCTACAATGTCTTTATAAAAAAATTTATTCATTATCAATAAATTAATTAAGAGAAATATACCAGGACTATGTGGTCTAATGGTACCCGGGTTGGACTTCCATTTGGAAGATTATGAGTTCGAGCCTCAGTGGAAGCGTTATTGGTTCTTTGTGTTTCAGCAGGTTGAGAAAGCCTCAGTGGAAGCGTTATTGGTTCTTTGTGTTTCAGCAGGTTGAGAAAGTATATGAACAGATACTACAATGTAATAGGATCAGTAACTTTCAAAAAAAAAAATTAAGAGAAATATATTGTCTTTATTTTTCTCCAATGTAAAAATTCTTTACATTCAAATTCATCAATTGATTATATTTACTACATTGTCTATTATCTTTTTTTTTGTGCACTATTTTTTAAATTAAATATCAAAGTTATAATACAAAATAATGCTATATATTTATTTACCAAGTATTTTATTAATATCATGAAAAAATTTAAAAAATATAATTAATAAAGCCAATCATATTAACTACTTGTGGGATTTGTTGACAAAGATAGTATTCAAATCACACAACAAATTGAAGTGAGAACTATCTCGCAATGTCCTTGTTTGACAACCAGCATTTAACGAATTATATTAGCGGATTTGACCAGTGAATTATATCAACGGTTGGTAAAAAGATATTTGAAAAAAATTAGCTATTTAGATTAACATGTAAAATGACCTAATAATAATAATAATAATAATAATAATAATAATAATAATAATAATAATAATAATAATAATAATAATAATAATAATAATAATAATAATAATAATAATAATAATAATAATAATTGTTTTTTAAAAATAAAAAAAATAAAAAAATATAATTAAGCCAATCATATTAACTACTTGGGAGATTTATTGATAAAAAAGTATTCAAATCAGACAACAAATTGAAGTGGGATACTACCTCGCAATGACATTGTTTGGCAATCAACAGTTAGCTCTTCAATATTAGTATATATTTAATATGTTATGCCCTAATTTTTATTTGCTCTCCCTTATGTCATGTATTTGGTTTCAACCATACCTATACAATTATTTTATTGAAAATTATAATCAATGTTGACTATATTATCTTGCATTTGTAAACTTAGAATTACATATTTAAATACGCAAATTCAACATTGAATTATCTATGCATGAATAATTCCAATATAATCTTGCATTGATATATACTCTAAAGTACTTATTTAAAAAACACATTGGACATTATCACAATCGCGCAATGCGCGTAAAAAACTAGTATATATTATAAAAGATAAGTGGTTGATCTGACACCAATGTTACGTTACAGGTGAAGTTATATGAGTGTTGTCTCATACGGAATTATATTATTTCGCAAATCCATTTGGTTTTATTAGTGATTTGAAGCCATAAATATTAAAGATTTCCTGAAATCACGAAGAGAATAGAATCC